GGGCCCCGCGCCTCAGCCGGGCCGCTCGCTCCGCAGGCCGCTCGCTCGCCTCCCGCGGGCTCCGGCGCGGGCCGCCCTCCCGTGGGCCTGGCCGCCGCTCAGTTGCGCCCCATGGCCGCCCCCCCGAGCTCGCGGTGACCGCAGTCCCCCCTGCTGCGCCGGCGGCTCCCCCTGCGGGCTCCCCTACGAGCAGGTCACACGCACGGCGGCGCAGGCGGCGGCGGTGGCGGCAGGGACTGAGCGCGGCGCGTCTCCCCCTCCTAATGCCACACACTCGGAACCGGCTCAAACCGGTTCAGACTGGGAGATTCCATCTCGGTTTAGTTTTCAGCCCATGGCGCCGCGGAGCGTTTGGAAACCTCGGGCCTCCGCCCAGCGCGCGCTCCCATTGGCTGCGGGCGCTGCCGCCGCGCAAGCGGCCTCCGCTCTCATTGGCAGGCGGCGCCGCCCATCACGCTGCGCGCCTCCGAGGGCGGGGGGAACCGCCCCCTCCCCAGCGCGCGCGGCGAGGGGGGGCAGAGGCGGGGCCGCTGCGCGCTGAGAGGCCGAGCCGAGCTGTCACTCACATGCCGGCCCGCCCTCACTTTGCAAACCGCGGGCACAGGTGCTGCCGCTTCTTCATTGGCTGGTGGCGCGCGTGACGTGCCACGCCTGGGGGAGGGGCAGCGTGTGGCTGGGCGGCGGTTGCGGGCGGCCGTTGAGAGCGTTGGGCTCGCCCTGTGGGGCGGGCGGTGCAGGCGCCGTCCCCATCTCTCCCTGCTGAGGAAGAGAGGCGGCTCTCGGGTCGCTGCCGCCCGGTTTGGGACCGTGTGAGCCGCGTTTGTGCTGCGGGCTGGGTCTGTGTCCCCAAAAGGCCCTCGCAGGTGCGTCCCAGACCGCTTCGGGCGAGGCTGCCTCGCCTAGAAAGAAGGGAGAGGTGGCAGAAACGCTGCTCTGCCGGGTCTGGTGACCAGAGGTGAAGCCTCGTTAGTGGAGCATAATGTGTATAGGAGGCATGTAGAATAACTTTTTTTTTTCTTTTTTTTTCTTTTTTTTAAGGAGGAGGAAAAATACTGTGAAGTATTGAGTTATCCCAGCAACAGGCATTGCAATCCTCATCACCTACTTTGAGGCTTTTCTTTATATTAGGATTTTTGGAGCAGCTCTGTGGGGTTAGTGAAGCTCATAGGGGGGATATCTTTTGTTTGCAGAATTGTCTTTTTATCATATCCTGAGGAAGCCTGCTCCTGAGCACTTAGAGGTGTTGCTAAGATAGACTGGCCAGACAAGGGTAGAAGCTTTTATTTAAGCTCTTTTGTATGGTCTTTTGCAAAAGTTAGTCCTTTCTCATGTGTTTTCAGTATGCCACTTCACCAAAAAAAAAAAAAAAGGAAAAAAAATCTTACATCAGAAACTATTTTTGTTATTAAAACCAGGGATTTGTTAAGTGGCTTCTTTCACAAGCTGAAACTCTATGTTTGCAATTGTCCTTGAGAAACTGGATGGCTTTTTTTTTTTTTTTCCTCCCCTGAAAGATCAGAAGATACTATAATTGGTATTTTTAAAAGATAGATTTTTTTTCCCTTGTAGTCTTAGAGAGTAGTCTAGAGTATTTTTCAGTTGAATATGTAGAGTTTAACTTGCAATGTTGGTGTTTGCTACAGTGATTGCCTATGCTCTAAACTATAACAAGCTGTAAAAGGAGCAACACTGATAGACTAGCTTAACAAAAATAAGCCCTTTGATTCTCATGTGTTGCAATATTAGTACAGAAGTGGAAAGTAAAAAAGTCATAGTAAGATTTGTGCTCCTGCATCAATTTGTATATTAGTTATTATTTTAAATGGTTTGCCTTTGTAATGATGTTAGTTTCTGGCATGTGGCTAAAGGCTCTGAGAAGTTTCTGGGGGAACCTACAAGGATAAGTAGGATAAGTTCTCCCTGGCTTTAGTAAAAACCTGTAGTAGAGCTGAGCTGAGGGGGTATGTGAAGAAACATGCAGCCAGAGCATGCTTGGGATAATAATGGGCAAGATGATGACCTGGGAAAATAAATATCTAGAAAATGGCTTTTGAATAATTTTATAAACTATGAATGCCAACATAAAAGGGTGTTTACTAACATTAAAATGATTAGTTGTTTGAGTTACCTAAATATTCTTTAGGTTCTTTCTACTTTTTATTGGAACTTGCTTTTGAAGTATTGTAACTTATAACTTGAAGTATTCAAAGTGTTATTAATGAATAATTACCATACTGGCTTAATAAAGGTTTATTTCTTTTTTTTCATATGTGATTGTGCAAGTGTTAGCAGAGAATAGCAGTAGCCATATCAGATAACTTGCTCTCTACTACTTATATAACTTCTGACTGTATTGTAGCTGTCAGCTTTATATGTAATGTTTCCTGTGCTGATTATATCTTAAAGACTATCTTTAAACTTTCTTCCAAGATTGTGCAGTTCGCTCCTACAGAAGTTTAAGGAATTGGTACGGTTCAGTGGGAGGTAGCTCTTTCAACCAAGAGAATATTAATAGATTTCTCTTATTATTTTTATACATATATTCAGCCTGGGAGCATATTCTGCTGTGTTGAATGTCTAGTGTAAGCTGAGCTCTAGAATAGAATGTGAAATTATGAAACTGCAGCAACTTGAAGTACTTTATAGTGGGACTTAACAAATATTGACAAATAACAGGTATTATTCTTACCAAGTTATTTGTTCCTCACCACATCTGTTTCTTTGGTTGCTTTTGAAATCACASCCCGAGAAAAAGAAGACATTTCACACGCATGGTTAATAATCAATCCTGAGCAATGATGTGATGTGTTTTCAGGTTGACCAGGAAGACTGTTTATCTGTGGAAAGTCACCAAAAAGAAAAAATGCCAGAACTAAGCCAATAAATCAAAGATCAACCTAGAAATGCAAAACTTTATGTAGGAAAACTAGCTGCAATGTAGTTGTCTTCCCTGATACTAACTCTGTTGTTCAGAGAACAGACTCATCAAATTGGCTTTCAGGTAGAAATCTCAACTGAAGTAAAGTTCTTCGCTAAGTTATTTTAGTATAAAGTTTGTATTTTGGCAGAAATGAACTCTACAATCATATATTGACTTATTGGTACTCTTTCATAGAAAGGATATTTCAACTACATTTTTTGAAGTCTTTCTGTTAGCTTTCCACCTTTACAAATTTTATGCAGGCAGCTGTGAAGCTGCTGGACTGTGCTCAAGAACCACATTTTTTTCCTATTTTTTTCTAAACRTTGTTTCTGTGAAATGTAACTCCTTAAGATCAATTTGTTGTAGTAATTCCTAAAAGAAAAGTTTTAGTAGTATGCAAGTCATAACATATCTCAGTAAATAGGCTATGGTTACACCTATTTTTAATGTACTCATAACAGTGACTCTCAATAGCCTGACAAGTTCTAGAGGTGCTGTGGATATTCTTGTTCCTCAGCCTTCACTTTATGTTTTATTGCTCTTTTTTTTAGTGTGTGTGTGTGTGTACACAAATATACATATAAATAAGAGTTGTGTGAAGGCTAGGGGAATAAGACTTGTACCCAAATAAATACTGTTTATGTTTCAGACAAAGGCTGAGGAGATTCAAGGCCACATGATACCAAATTAGGTCCTGTGTGATGTATTATTGGGGAAATAGCCCTGCCACGAGGAAAGTCTTAGGTCAGTTTTGCAGGRGGAGAACTTAACTGCCAGTGACCTGGTATCTGAGCTTGCCTTGGCCAGATAAGGTGTTTGTAGAAGTTTTCTGGCCCRTGTTTAAATGACGTCTTTAGGTGTCTACTCCCTAAATGTTGGGAATAAATTGGCCAACTCTGAATTGGTCTGTTCTTTGAAAGTGGAAACTGCAATTCCGAGACTCCCTTCCCTCCCCCGCCCCCCCTTTGAAGTGTATTTAAAAAWTAAAGCAGCTTGTAGCAAAGATCTTCATGTTTCTTTCTGTGCTCAATCTGTAAGTGARATCTCTTGGAATTTTTTTTGAAGAGCTAGAATGTGAATGCAATACACCTAATGTTATTTTTATGCATGGTATTAAAAATATATCCTGTAACATCTTGGTCATGTGGATAATAAATCAAGCGCTTTATTTCACATTGTTTATCTTATTTGAAACTTGTGCATTACCTTGTATAGGAATTAACAAATCTGTAGTTTTTGCTGTATGAATTACRATGTTATTTTTGATCATAATTCATGGGAACTGAACTAGAAAGTGATTCAAATAACTTGTTGTGCCTATACGTTGTGTTTTTCTGATGGGTTAAAAGCATGCATGTGTTTGTAACGCTTAGAATAAACAATTTTTCTATGCATATTTTGATGTTCTTGTTAGCTCTGGGACTCAAAAACAAACTGATGTAAGAAACTAAAAGGTCAGATTTAACTCCTTGGCTTGTGCAGAAGGTTCGTTTGCTCTGTTTTTTYTTTTGTTTAGATTTTTGGGCAAGAGTTAAAATACTTGGAGTTAAAACCCTGTTTGTTAAACTGTTAACTTCTTCAGTTGAAATATATTTTTAGACAGAAGATTAGATGCAACTTTTCACTTACATCAGCTACTAGTAACACCCTAGAATGAAGTGTGCTTAAACTGCAAAAATAAGCACAACAGAGTTTAGTCTTACAAGTTTGCAAGTTAAATTGCTATCTTTGAATAGGGGAAGAATTACCCACCGCTCTGTAGCGGGATTCAATAGCACTGACTCTGCTCTCCTCAAATAATGTATTTTAAGCTTTGTGAGAGAAAGGGTCTTTCTACTTTTATGCAGGCTGTGGCTGCAGATGCTACGGTATGAGAAGATAACTTCTCTCATTCCTCTTCTGTGAGGAGTCGGGGAGAGGCTGGTTCAGAAGCTGATTGCAGTCATATAAGAAGTAGCTATTTTAACAGGACAAATATATCTGGAGCTCAAGACTTCTTTTCAGTACGTACAGTAAAAGCACAAGTAGGCTTATGTTTGTTTTGCTACTGTTGTTCCCTGTCTGCCTGCTCCTTTTTTAAATGTTTTGTTTGATATTTGTCTTGCTGAAATCACTGGTAAACTCTGCTTGGATTTCAATACCTGTGGCTGGCTTTTTTGAGGTGACACCATTAGCTGTTATGTGACTCCATGTTTAGCTTTCAAAGGAGCCTGAGGTATGAATAGATATCTCATTCTTAATAGACATCTATCTGCATCACAAATGAATTTTTTTTTTACAACAGGAAAATGTGAGTGATTGAAAGAAGCTTGTTTTGCATTCAGAGATCTATATTAGTGTATTTATTTTTCTCTAATATGTGATGTTGCCAAATTTCAGTCTCTTCAATTATAATTRAACTCTTCCTGTGATCAAATCATTTTTTTTGTTTGATGTACATTGCTGGTTAATCTTTATTTTAATAAAAGCTGTCAGGAATGTTCCCTAAACTATGAGAGGAATAGATGCTGAAATTAATAGCTGTTTCTTATTACTATATACTATATGATGAARCTCTATTAGAAAGTTTACAGATCTAATATGCTGTCCGTTGACAAAGTTTCCTACTCTTATTGCTGTTTTATCTCAAATGTGGGAAATCTGAGTTGGTTTTGGCCTGTCTGTCAATGTGTGCCAGCATCATTGACATTATTCCACAGGCAGAAGAAGAAATGCCGAACATAGTGAGAATGAGTCTGAGAATTAGTAAAAATGTTCTTTTTTAGTATTTTTTATCAAAAAGGTAGAGCATGTGGAAATAATCCTATGCRGTATCATGTAACCACCCCTCTAGAAATTTTAGGGAGTGGACTTTCTACCTTTCTTAAGGAAATTTTAGCTTTCTGTGAAAATCACTGTCCTCAGTGGGGGATAGAAAATACATGGGTTGATTTAAGTGAAGAGCACACAGATTACAAACACATGTTTACAAGGGCACCATAATGTGTGGCAGCTACTATAGTTTGAATGCTGGCTTAATCTCTCCATGTAATCTCCTGGGGTGAAGGGATGGGCCGCTGTGGTTTGAGACTCTCAGAAAATAAAAGATGATGTGGATTGGCAAGGAGTTGGCTTTTATTAGCTCTCACCCTGAAGCTGGAGAGCTTCAGAGCACTTCCTTCCTCTTCTCTCTTATGCAAATTATGCATTTAACGTTGACAGCTTTATTCTTTTTGAATACTTTTCCTGTGTGTTAGAAGTTCTTATTTATGAATAATGCTGAACTAGGTGGTGTCTTGAGGCTTGTCAGAAGCAAGACTAGGCAGTTAGGCAGTGCATGCCTGGGAAAACTGGTGCTGTAAATGAAGGCAAAAAGCAAGAAACCATGAAAATAAGGCAGAGGGAAACTCATCAAGTTAATATTTTAATATTGTAATTTCTTTATGTGGTACAGGAAAGCAAAAAAAAAAAAAAAAAAAGGCGGTTAAGGGAAATGAAGCAGAGGAAATAAGGCAGGTGTTGGGTGAGGCTGAAGTGAAGGGAATGAGGAGTTCAGAAGAAATTGACAGTTTCCAAGGATGTCTGAGCAACACAGCTAAATCCACTAATCAGTGTCAATGCACATAGGTTGGAACATCTTTAGCCTCTCTCCATTTTTTGTAAAGGTCCTTTTCCAAAACCATTTACTCTGGAGAGAGGGAGGTGGGTAGCTGGAGAATTTTTTTTCAACCGAGTTGTGTCCTTTGCAAAAAATTCCTCCCAAGGGCTGGGACGAATGTTAKTGTCCTTGTAGTTCCTTCTTTCTCATGCAGACCTCCAACATAATTCTATGGTTTTTGATATGGTAGGATCTTTGATTAATGAAAACAATATAGGGAGTTTGTTCTGCCCTTGCACTCTTATCGCTCCAGAAATGGCAGAACTAGTCCTGCTGAAATTTTCATCTTCTCACTGAGCATCTGCTGTTGTTTTTAATTATCTTAAATGGTGAGGTTTTTTCTTTCTTTTGAGAGCGCTTCTATTGTAGGTATTTGTTCTTCAAAGACTCTTCAACTTCCTTCTCTAAATGTGGCTCAACTAATTTTGCATTTAGTTTAATTTAWTTCTGTATGGAAGAAAACTTCTGTCCTGATGAATGTCCCAGGTCAATGATTTCAGGTAGATCATACAGAGAATATTAATGGTATTTGCAGATGGTTTTAAGTTACAAGCTTTCACATACACTGTGTAGGGAAGGGGAAAAAAATTAACCCTAGATATCATCGAAATGGACAGAAAATTGAATCCAACTGAAAGCATTGGTATTGTGAACTGGTATATCCTTGGAAAAAATAATGTGAGAGGTTTAAGGAAGAATTTAAAGGTACTAATAGCTAGAGCAGAAAATGGCCTCCAGATTAGATATACCTCTGATTAGTAGTAGAGCAAAGAAAAAGACCACATGATTAGGAAGCATCTCAAGGCATCACTTGGAAGAACAACAGGATAGTGGTTGCCTTGATAAATTTTGATGATGCCACTCATCAAGTAGTTTAGATAAACCTGAGTATATAATTATCAATGTATTGGAAACAGATCAGTACAACTTCAGTGAAGAACAATAAGTGCAACTTTCTTACAAAGATAATATATGGGAAAGATAGAAAAAAAATATGGGAACATTWTTCATCAATATATGTCCTAAAGCTATGAACACTGCTGATGAAGTGGTTTTGCTTTTAATATAAGCAGATAAATAACTGTAAGGGAATTATCATTAAATTTGTTAAAATCAAATTGCATTTTTTCTCATTTCAAGATGAAGCCAAATAAAACACTAAGAAGTATATTACAAGGGAAAAAAAATCTGTACCTGCAGGTTGAGGATTGACCTTTATGAGCAGTAATCTTAGTGTTGTTTCACTGATAATGGAATTTCATTTTTAGGAAAATGTTGCCGTAGAGCTGGTGCTGAAAAGTGATCGGAAGACGTATGAAAGTTCAAGAAACTTGCCCTACCCGAGTCCTTTAAGTGAGTTCACAAAATACTTACTGAAAACCTTAAAAAAGTATGCACTGGGTAATATATGGATAGTAGTTCTGATATTATTTCATAGTCTGGTTTTTTGATTTAACTTATTTTAATATGTATAAAGCACCTTAAGAGTTAGTAAAAGATAGTTAGCAGGATGTGTGTTCTAAATTAAGAATCCAACTGTAAAGGCAGCATGGAAATCTGAGATAAAATAGTGCATAACACTCAGTGCTGTAAGAGGCATTGGCATAGACTGTTAACTTTACCCAAACAACTTTCTAAGATATTAAAGCTATTCACATTTTCCTTTGGGCAGTTATGTGTTGCTTGAGTCCACTTTCTATTTAAATTGTAAACTACTAATACTTAATTGATTTGGGGTAGTACCTGCTTGTCSACTCTTGGTAATTTTTGAGACAGCAATCTCTTTTCTTCTAACAAGTGACGTAATTTCAGATTGCAGTTKAAAAATAGACATACCAAAGATGATAATATCTCTTCAGTAAAATTTTGATATTCAGGGAATAGGTAAAGATATRTATCTTCCTTATGATAGCAGTGGATATATGATATTATTGAACTTTATTTGGAAAGTTTACAATTTTTACACTAAGCTTTCTAATGGCTAATAATCACATGTTACTGATTTTCATCTATCTGAGCTAATCTTTCTTCCAGTTATCTCTTTCAGTTTTACCTTACATGTGGTTAGTCATTAATTTGGTTACTGTTTACAGCAGAGAAAGGCAGATATCAAAACTTTTATATCAGCTATTACAGTAGTACCCATTCTAGAAAAGCAGTCTCTAACTGATATTTCTAGTCATACAATATAAATGCAAACACTAATATTATCATGGTGGACAACGTTTTTATGATAATCAATCGTTTGTATGGCTACCAAATTTAAARGCCCATCACCATTAGGATATAATAAAAGATATGCCTCTAAAGGAAATTGATGTATATAAATTATATGTATATAAATTATGTATGTATACAATATATTTTCAAATCAAATTTATAACTGAGACTAAATTATAAACTACCTCGGAGAGAGTTCAAAATGTTTTTAATGTACTGTCAATACTTTACAGTTTCATATATAAAGTTGGTACAATATTAGCTAACAACTTAGCTGTTCTTATGCTAGAACACCAGTTATATATATTGAATAACCTGTGAAATTAAAATATGCTCTGCAAGTGATGAACACTACCTTCATTTCAAAACAAGTTTCTGTAGTTTGCTCATTTTGAAAGACAGTTGATTATTTATGTTAGATTTCACTGAACAGCTTAGCAGTGTCATCTTCTCATTGAAGTGTGCCTTTCAGTTCTTTGTAGATCAACCTCATCTAAAAGGTTTTTATATATGTGCATGTGTTTATCTTCTCTCTCCTAGAAGCACGTGCCCTAGAAATGATAGAAGGTATAAGGGTGGTTGTTTAATCAAGGTGCAACTTGTATACTTACCTTATAGGAGATATTTTACTCTTTTACCAGAATCTATSGTCTCTTGCAATAGTGGAATACTTTAATGATCTAACAGGAAAAGCTATATCTCAATAAAATATGTATGAATTTAACCTGATGGATTAACATTCCAGGTAAAGGAGAAGAAATCAAAGCAGTTTGTAGGCCATTCTTGGAAAAGAGATATTGAAAAAAGAATCCTACTTTCTACCTAGGCAAGTAAAGCTTCATGGTGAAATAAAATTCCCTATTAATGTTCTTTGCATTTTGTTTTAGTTTGAAGATAGCCTTATAGCTTCTTGAACATATCAGCTTRTAAATGATTAATATGCAAGTAATCTTGATCTAATTCATTATTTTTTTTTCCGGTTTGTATTTCAAAGTGCAGTCCTTGGTCTAAAGACATTTTTATTCTGTAGACTTTACTGTCTTTGCATTGAGTTGAGTTCCATTTCTTTTTCTCCAGTGCACCATGGGTTTATGTTCAGCCTTTGGCAAGCTATGTTTTCAAAAAGGTTCTCTCTTCGGGCAAGCTACAGCGCAAAAATCACTTTCTTCTCTTACCTATGATTAAACTTAGCCTTTGGTCATAACCTTTTGTGGCTGGCCATTTCCACTAAGAAGTAAGAAACAGGGCTTGAACCCTTTTAAAAATATCCATGGGAGCCTTTATTTCCTGTGGGAATACTCTGGACAGCTTTATTGGAAAGGAACATGCCTGCAAGTTCTTCATTAAGCATCTATATACAATTAAGTAAGTAATTTTGCAGACAGGATATAACCAGAAATTTTGTGATCTCAAAATGAAAAGGATGCAAAGCAAAATCTTCCTGTCCCAAAGCCAAAAGCAGTATTGTGCATCTGAGACTCTTCTGGGTTTTTTTTGYTTGTTTGTTTGTTTTTTGTTTTAAGTGAATAGGCTAAGGATATCAATTGCTGAACCAATATACATTTTTTGTTGGGTAGACTGGGTAGATTAGGTACCTCCCTTGATGGTTTTAATCCAACACTAGCTACATCCAGAGTTTTGTTTCAGGTTGATTATTTTCACCCAAGTAATAAGGGGAAAAATCCTGCCAGTGTAGTGTTAGTGTATCTCTTTAAGAAAGTCTTCTAGAAATGTTGGAAATTATTTTGCTACATGACTAACAAATAATGTGGGTCAGAGATAGCTTGCAGGGCAAGGAGAGTGTCCAGATCCTTCAAAGAATGAATTAGAAAAACACTCTGCATGAATTTTGCTGTGTGGTTTACAATGCTGCAGTATTGCTATAGCAGTACAGAAGCAGGCACACACATCCTATTGTGACTGAGGTCATCGCACTTCAAAAGGTGATGGCAATGATGTCTTAAATGTCAGAAGTTTTTAACTTCACTTCTCTTACATGAAACATAGCATCGTGTCAAAATAGYTACACAGGTATTTCCCCAAATGTGAAATATGCAGAGAAGGTGCCAGGAGATATAGATGGTCAAACTGTACATGATGATGAACAGTGCTTTTGATTTTGCCTTTACTTATGGCACTGCAGGTAAAATGGTTTTTTTCTTTTTAGCAGAGACTTAAGTCTCGGTAATTTTGGAAATGTGGGTCTAGAGATGCCTGCACAGAGAAAAATCCAAATTGGAAGCATGTGTTTCCTTATAAGTATTACAGCACACTGTCTGGATTGGAATGAAAGCTTAAATTAACACAATTTGACAGTGTTGCTGGATACAAACTGGTTGTGCCTTCAGCTATTTTGACCTCCTTACAAACAGAGTTGAAAACTGACGTAATCACAGAGTCTCTAGTTTGATTCTCTTTCCCTTCCATGATTTTACAAAAGGCTGACTTTCCTGGATGACATGTTTCATTTCTGAGAGTGGATTATGAAGGAAAAYCAAAGTACTTACATTTGTGACTTTGGCTAAAGGAAGAGAATGTAGTGTRATTTAGCTGGGTGTCACCTAAGAGCAATTAGCTGAAAGGCTGTGTCCATGTAGTATGTTCTAGGTTGCAGGTGGAGGAAGATTTGGGGTTCTGAGTCTTAGCTGTGTTTTGTAGGCCAGTGTACAGACTAGAAGACTAAGAAGAACATTTCTAGGACAACGTACATTATATTAACATACTGAAATGTTTTACATTATTTCTAAAACTTTATATCCTTAAACCTAAAGGGTAGAAGAATATTCCAAATGTGAAGTTCAATAGGTCTCCAAAGTATGATCAATAAAACATTAGGAGGAATTTCCTTAACATTTGTCATTAACAGGCCTTAACAGGTAAGTTCTATATAGAATCATAGAATGCCGAAGGTTGGAAGGGACCTCAGAGGTCATTGAGTCCAACCCCCCTGCTCACGCAGGGTCACCTAGAGCACGTGGCACAGGGCTGCATCCAAGTGGGTTTTAAAGATCTCCAAAGAAGGAGACTCCACAGCCTCTCTGGGCAGCCTGTTCCAGTGCTTTGTCACCCTCACAGTGAAGAAATGCTTCCTTAAGTTCCTGTGGAACTTCCAATGCTTCAGTTTGAAGCCATTTCCTCTAGTCCTATCCCTGCCCACCACTGAAAAGAGGCCGCCCCCCTCCTCCTCACTGCCTCCCTTGAGGTATTTATACACGCTGATCAGGTCCCCCCTCAGCCTCCTCTTCTCCAGGCTGAACAGRCCCAGCGCTCTCAGCCTTTGTTCATATGGTAGATGTTCCAGGCCCCTGATCATCCTGGTAGCCCTGCGCTGGMCTCTCTCCAGCAGCTCCACATCCCTCTTGTMCTGGGGAGCCCAGAACTGGACGCAGKACTCCAGATGTGGCCTCACCAGGGCTGAGTAGAGGGGGRTGATCACTTCCCTCGACCTGCTGGAGACRCTTTTCTTAATGCACCCCAGGATCCCGTTGGCCTTCTTGGCCACCAGGGCACACTGCTGCCTCATGGTCAACTTGTCGTCCACCATGACACCCAGGTCCCTCTCTGCGGGRCTGCTCTCCAGCAGGTCCACCCCTAATCTGTMCTGGTGTCCAGGGTTATTCCTCCCCAAGTGCAGGACCCTGCACTTGCCCCTGTTGAACCTCATGAGGTTTCTCGCCGCCCAGTCCTCCAGTCTGTCCAGGTCCCTCTGGATGGCAGCACAGCCCTCAGGGCTATCAGCTACTCCACCCAGYTTGGTATCGTCGGCAAACTTGCTGAGGGAGCACTCCAGCCCTTCATCCAGGTCGTTAATGAATAAGTTGAACAGGACCGGACCGAGAACTGACCCCTGGGGGACACCAGTTGGCTCCAGTGTGCCCTGGTGGCCAAGAAGGCCAACGGGATCCTGGGGTGCATTAAGAAGAGCATCTCCAGCAGGTCGAGGGAAGTGATCATCCCCCTCTACTCAGCCCTGGTGAGGCCACATCTGGAGTACTGCGTCCAGTTCTGGGCTCTCCAGTACAATATCCTTCCCTACTGTAAAATAGTAAGAATATAAGTGCAGAAAATTGAGTTGTGCCAGTCAACATAGTGTCAGGATTTATGTAAAATGCAGGTACTTAGAGAAACCCCATTTAAAGCAGACTTGTTCTAACTACAGAAATATAGCAATGTTATATAAGTCTGCCCCTCTCTTCTGTCTATTTCAGAGGCACAGTGAAGGACACTTGAGATCTGCATCACAGCCATAAATGCAACAAAATTCCTCTGTAAATTATTACTACATCTATTCCTCATAGCCTGGGCTGTGAGGAGTGTAGAACTTATAGGAGTAAATAAAAAGCAAAAAAGTATTTAGGTTTCAAAACTTTTACCCAATCAATTACTAAACTGTTTAGTATTAGTTTGAGCGACTTTGATAGACTTTCCTATTATGTGGAGTAATGACTTAAGGCCAAATTTTGGTTTTAATCACATGAGGAGTCCACCRCTTCCCTATGCATGGGAGGAAGTGTAGGAAAAGGAAATTACCCTGTAGATATTGCTGTGTTTGGCACACTCTGCAATATACTTAAAGGTTTCACCTTCTCTAAACTGACAAATTAACTTGGAAAACAAACTAACAGAGGAGTTGGTTTTATTTTTAAGCCACACATTKTCCTGTCTTATTCAGAGCAGGAATTTTCTAACAAACAAATTACCAGAGTCTGCTTTTCAAAATTACGTAATAAAAATAATTGTCAAATCTATTATGATAGTCTAGACTACACACAGAGAACCCAAGGGAAATCATGGATATTTTCTTCATGGAAATAGAGAATGGAAAAACTAAAATGTTTCATCTACTGTAAATAAGTGTATTCTGTAATCTTTCAAAATAGCTTAGTTGGTCTCTTGAAGAAAAAATGGTAATGTAAACTCCTCAAGAAGGGCGTGTTATGCTATTGTTAGCTCTGCTTTCTGTGGGGTTAGTGATAAGAGCTTTTAGAAGCACTATGTGATTTCAGAAGTAATCCAGAAGCAAAGCTGCTCTTCCCTCCAATATGCCTGTCATGGGGAAACTCTACTGGTTGTGATTTAGTTTAGGGAGCCTTTATTTTCTCTCTCACACATGCACGCACACAGCTGCAAGGAAGGTAGGTCAAATACATAGATCAGACATAGGCTTCTCTGATTAGCGTGAGTGGGTGACTTATATACATTTCTTTGGTTGGTATAGTTACTATCTAACGCTCTCTTGATTGGCTATACATTGAAGTAAAGAACAAAGAAAATGGAATTTTCCACTGGAAAACTCTGCAACTTCCATCCAGTTCTATCCAGTTCGAATTCCTGGGATGCCAGGCAGGAGTTGGTGAGTTCATGCAAAGTTCAGGGATTCTTCTTTTGTTCTTACCTTAAGATAGTGGTGAGAGAAAAAAAGGAATTAATTTTCCTATCTTGATTGTCTTTTATTTCCACAGGCCATATATAAGCTTGAGAATATGAGAAATGGAAATCAACCTATCTATTTTAGCTGGAGCAAAATAATTCTGTTTTTTGAAGTCTTGAATGGAACAAACTCTCAAAGTGAGAAACCAAGACATGTCTTGGGCTGAGAAATGCTCTGCTTGTATTGGGGCTTCAGGGAACTGCTTTAGAACTGAGATAAGGGGCTACGGGAAAGGTTTTCTTTTGATCTGCTCTGCCTGATACAGCATTTTCTTTCACCTCCTAATACAATGTGGAATATGGTGCATGTAATGGCCAAGTCTGTGCAATAAGGTGAGAGATTTTTATTAAGAAATTTACTGGAGTCTGGATAGGTTTAAAATGAAAAA